ACCAGTCAATGAGATGGAAGACCATTCAGATGACATGGAGAGCATCAAAACACAACTTCCTTCTTCTGCGGACCTCTCCACCCCTTGCACAACAGATCCCCTTGAAATGGACCAATCAGAGCCTCCACAGCATGAGAAGGCAGCAAGGCCTGGTGGCAAGCAGAGGAGATACAACTGCAGCATGTGCAAACGGGTCTATGTCACCCTATCCAGTCTGAAGCGGCATGAAAATGTACACTCCTGGCAGAGGGCCTATCCCTGTCATTACTGTAATAAAGTGTTTGCCTTGGCAGAATACCGCACAAAGCATGAAATATGGCACACAGGTGAACGACGCTATCAGTGCATTTTCTGCCTGGAAACATTCATGACATACTATATCTTGAAAAACCATCAGAAGTCTTTTCACGGCATTGATCCCAGTTTAGCTATCAAGAGGAAATCTGCCAATGGCGGGCTGAAAGCCAGCGTTTACCCAATAAAGCTCTACAGGCTCCTGCCTATGAGGTTCAGAAAGAGACAATACAAGACGTACAGTCAGACGTATTCAGAGAGTGCTGAGAAAAGTGACCAAGATGCACAGGACAGTAGCTCTCTCATCCCTCCATTAGAAGAAAACGGTCTAATCAGCCACCCTGATGCTATGCCGTTCCCTCTCACGTTCATGGCCACGACAAAGACAGTGGCCCCTGTTATTCCTCGAATCAGCTTTGACAAGCTCTGTGACCAAGATGTTGATCATAATTTGAACAGTGAATCCGAAATTCAGAGAGGCGCAAGAAAAGAGGCTGAAAGTAGAGATTCATCCTTCATTAACTACAACAGTACCTTCTCTCTACAACACGACAAAGAAGCTTACAATGACGATCCTCCACTGATTATGAACTCAGAATACATCAGTCATAACGTGCCATTCCTAAACTCTCTGAGCACTGTTAAAAAGTTAGGTGAGCTGTCAGCTTCTGCGAAAAGAGTTGAGGACATGACCAAGGAGATACTTCAGTCAAGCACAGAGAGTCTAGTGCGTGATAGAACAGTGGGGTCAAAGACAGAAACATATATCGCCAAACCTGCGTGTCCGGGGCCATCACTGGATGGTGATTCAATGCCACTATGTCAGATTACAGTGAAAATAGGCAATGAGGCCATCATCCGCCGCCGAATCAAAGGATCTAAGCTCTTCCCCAGAAAGAAACGAAGAGTCAGAGAATTGAGTGAGGAGGAGAGCCTGAGTCAGTGTCCTCCAACGAGAGAGAGCTCAGAAAGCCCCAGGCTCCGCCTCAGATCAGAAGCAACCATCGCGGTACAGCCAGAGACTAATGAAGATCCCAATGACTGTGACTCTGCTGATAAGCTCTGGCGTCCCTACTACTCTTACAAAGCTAAGAAGAAGAGGAGGAAGATGAGATTCAAGCATAGAAATGCGTTATTTCACCATTACGCTGAAACATCTGTGGATAGATCTGCTGCAGCCGAGGCCCCCTTCGATAGTAGCAGCTGGCTGACAGAGGAGCACAGCTCAGGTGGCAGTGCAGAGGTGAAACGCAGCCTGAGCAGGAACTGCAGCCCGAGGGCCACCTACTGCTGTGACATCTGCGACAGCTCCTTCATCACAGAGACCGGCCTGAGAGCTCACGTTATTGGTTCCCACCCATGTTTTTGCCTGACGTGCGGTAAACAAGGTCCCCCTGGTGAGGCACCTGCTGGCAGAGATTACATCTGCAACAGTTGCATGGAAAGTGGCTCCTGCTTTGACAATTCATCCCGGAGCCCCAACCCAGAGAAGAAGTATCGCTGTTCCTTCTGTCCGCAGCGCTTCCTCTACCTTGCCACCAAGAAAAGCCACGAGAAAAAACACCAGGACACAAATGATGAGGGATATAACTACGACAACTTCCCACCATCTTCTGAATACCTAAGTGAAGACAATAAACAAGACACCATCAAAACAGAGGGCAGTGACACTCAGGGGGACACTGACATAATGAATGAAAGGGAGAAAGGAGGAAATATTTCCAATAATAAAATTAAACCTAAAATTGAGGATACAACTGACTTTATGCCTTTGACTACATACCAGGACATGTCACATTCCAGCATTAAAGGTCCATTATCACCATGCATTGACCCACTGTTTTCCCTGGCATCCTCTAAGGTGAAACACAAAATCGTAAAACAGCGCTCTGTGCATCTCATCTCAAAAAAGCAAGCCAGTGACAGCGACGGCAGCAAGGACATTTTGACTGGGCCGCGAACGAACAGTCACAGTGATCGAGAGAAGTCCTATAAACTGTTTAAGAAAAATGACTCAGAGAGTAAATGTAGCCACATTTCTATACACAAGCCAGAGAAATGGGTCTGCAAGGAGGAGCCATTTTTTTAAAGATAGTTTAGGACAGACCATCTATAGGCACAGGAGAAAGTTAATGGACTTTGACTGTGATGGACGACGTGTCTCCACTTCCTCCCACTATCCAGAAACAAAGCCAAAATATCCCGGAAATCAACGCTACTGTTTTGCGTGTTTGGAACCAGAGTTGGGGGATGGAGCTGCGGTAGCGAAGTCCAAGCGACACACATGCAACCAATCACGAGTCAGTCTCAGCTATCAATCATGATGTCTTACCCCATTTTCATAGAATTAAATAACCAGTTAAACCCAAATCAGAGAAATTAGCACTTGCATATATCAGCATGCTAACAACTACCTAATCTTTGAGAACATTTTATTTGACATGTACTTTGACTTTTTAGATTGTCTCATGTCCAATCCACTAACATGAAGGAGGCAGGATTTTATGTTAAACAGAGCAGCCAACCAGGGGCCATTGAGACATTTTGGTTCAACCTTTGGGGAGCTGTCATGTCATCCATGTTTATATACAGTCTGTTTTTGATGCAAAATGTGAAATGTTGTATTTTGCAGCTGAGCAGGGTGAAATATCAGTGTGGGCTCTTTCCTCCATAACTCAACATCTGAGTCCATGGTCCATTGTATATGCATATAAGGCAGAATATAAGGCAATGACTGTAACCTCAAGAAAACAAATGATGTGCAATTTCAGAATAGGGGTGGGACGTGCGGACAACTGAAAAGCTGTCTAGTGTGGTGTCCGGGTAAAACAATATGTTTTGTTTTTATTGGTCACATTTCTAATTTGTCCATGGAGTTAACAGGTTTGTGGCAGGTTGCACTTTAAAGTTTGACTATGCTAATCTGTTTGTTAACTACTTTGATAATTACGTTTCAACGCTGAGCACCATTGATATACTTCTAATTTCTAATTAACACACGGCACCACTGAGTTACTACTTTTGTGTGTTTAAATATGTATAGAACATGTAAAAGCATTTAAATAAATGTTGTTGATATTCTAAACAGTTACTTCTTTCCTCCTTAATCCTTGTTAGAGACACGATCAATGCTTGTCTTTTATTTCACAGTATTCAGCGACCACGGATCGACACATCATCAGTTTACTTGATATTACGTTACTCACGGTAAAGGGAATATTTCAAATAACTCTAAAAGTTATGCAGTTTAAGTGTGGAGATTTTTAAATTGGAAGTTTTACATACAGTGAGATTTAAACAGTTGTGCTAAAGGCTGCTCCACAGTGAGCATTTTCCTAAATATAAAGCCATGTGTTAGTTATCTGCTCCTCCAGCTCCTCCAGGGACCTGCAGCCCATCTGAGAAGTTCATTCCCTTCGTCTTCCACACAAACTGCATCTGTATTTAGAGCTGGGCCTCAAAAACACAATTTCCAGATGTTTCCAAATTCTTTGCTGCTCTCTAAGACCGGCAATGATGCAACAGATGGATCACAAGGTACTGATCATCCCACTGATTATGAACATTTCGCCATGTCTCTATTATCTGTCATTTAATAAAAGCTGATTGCTTATTAAAACACGGATAGCAACAAGTCATTATGTTCTTAATGTTAGTACAGTTCAGCTTTGATTTTTCATTTATAATCTGTAAGCATGTGACATTAAAAGCTATTGGACTCTGAGATAAATAAAGATTAGTTACACCGATATAAATTATAACCATCATGTTGTAGTAGTATAGTCAGTATAGTAAGGACAATACTACTATACAATACTACTATATACACTCAAATCTGATGGCTAAAGACACATCAATAATGCGCAAAATGTCAAAATAGGTCTTATCATAATTAGTAATAAGTATTGTTCACTAGACTGTGCTACTTACTATAAAGAAACTGGTTATAAAAGTTAAAATCCATACCTGCTGCTATCTGTGATGGGGATAAATCCTGTGTTTTTACCAACCAAAGCAACATCACCTTAAAAGAGAAGAAGACATCACAAAATGTCTGTCGGGTATATTTACATAGAAGATAGTGGTTGATATATTCTTAAGAGTTTTAATGTAATCTTGAAATTTCATATTGTTTTGTCAACATGTAATATATGATATGTAGTAATATACATTGACTTTATTCTCTTCAATTTGACTTTATTCTAGATGTTTAAAATAAAAAATAAAACCTCTTTTGCCACTGATTTAGTTTGACTTGAATCTCAACAATTTGACTTTTTCACTGATGTGTTAAATAAATAAAAAAATCTCAACTGATTTAGTATGACTTCACTTATCAATCTTTTGACTTTATTAGACTTTATTTTGACTTTATTAGTGAAAAGCATATATATATATCTTATCTTAAAACTGGAACTAATACTCTTCCAAACACATGACAATATATTGAGTATCTGTAGTCGATTAGTCGATTAAATCACTGGTGTATGAATCAATAACTAAATACTAATGAGTGTGAATCAATTCTGGTATTTCACCAGTCGTGAAGCTGTGTGCCTCAGAAACTACTTTCAGATTAGAGTTAATTTTCACATGTGTCTCACACGGGATTAGGCAGTGACATCTAAGATTATCCACTGAGCCTCAGCTCCACGAGTCAGTGTGTGCTCTCTAAACAAGCGTTGCGTAATTAACAACACAGCAAAGTCACATGAAGTAACCAGAAAAGCTGCTACCGCCGTCACCAGGGTGGAGCGGTGGCCGAGGCGAGGCGCTTGACTTCAAAATTTTATCCGGCCCGTTTTCAACACAACGGCTTGTGCGGGAGTTGACGTGACGCGGCAGTGGGGCTGTCTCTCCTCCGCGCTGCCTGCATTCATAAACGGATATGTTGATAACCCAGCGCTGAGAGCACCGGAGCAGCGACAACAGGCGGCTCTGACCATGGCGGAAGAGGACGACGCGAGGATTCGGAACTTACAGTGCCTGCGGGGGAAGATATGTAAGTAGACCGCCGTTCCCCTCACTCTCCCGGCGGCGTGGATGTGTTGGTGGTGGTGGGAGAGGTCGGCGGTAGAACCAGCGAAAGAGCGGCAGTGGTGGCGGCGGCGGCAGGGGGGAAGCCGGAGGGGCGCGGCGGCAGTGCGGGCGGGCGGGCGGCAGTGTGGAGGCACAGGCAGCCAGTTCATCTGGTCGGTCCGCTGGTTAACGTCAGGTTAGCCTAGCATGCTAACAGCAGTAGAGGGCTTGTTGTGAATGGTTTCATTCATCGAGCCACGACCGCCAGTTCAGTAGTCTGAGCAGCTCGGGTGTTTTACGAACATTGAAATGACATTATTACTTTATTTTAAATATGAGAGTTTAGTGTTGCGCAGAGCTGCCCGGTTAAGCTAAGGTACCTCTGGTGGCAAAGCAGGCAGGCTAGCTACCACCAGTCCATCGTCACTAACCCACTCACTGCAGGCATCTGCCAGACAGGTAACTCACCTCCGGGTACATTATGACCCAACAAAGAAGTACAGCCATGAACTACAGATACTGGACGTTAAATATGTACTTTAAATATCCCTTTAACTTTCCAGTGGCAGTCAGTGTATGACAGTACTTCACTGATTGCAGTTTCTCCACAGTTTCCTTCATCAAGTGTCTGAGTCAGAACTGGATCTGGATAATAAAACGAAGACACATGTAAATGATCCTCTGTCATCATTTACCACGACATTATTAGTTATGAAACCACATAGGTATGAGTTAGCTGTCCTGCCTCCAGCACCAAACAATATTCTGCAAGCCTATAGTCCCCAATGTAGTTATAATAATATTACTATAGTCATGCATCTAATTACAGTACAAATTGGAAACATTGGACTCAGACTGAGGGTTGGACGATGTGGCCAAAAATAATATCAAGTTAAAAATGTGTTCATATGAGTCGATGCTAATATTATCATAATAAATGTCACATTGTTATTTCTGATAAGTTCCAAGACTGTTTGACGGTTGTGGTTTTAAACTCTTCTTTATGGACAGAGAATAACAACCACTTTAAAACATTTTACAAATCTGAGGTAGATGATTTAACACAGGCTGGGATGGTCCAGTTCTGTACCTACATGTCTGTGAGGCCTAAATGTGTTATTGTGGTTTTTGTCAAAATACTTCCAAGTCCAAGATGTGTGTCTCATGTTTCAGCCATTACTTAGATATTGACATGTGAATTACACAAGTCACGTTGACTTGTAGATAACAAGGTGTTTCATGTGTTGCAGCAGATTTGATTATTCTCACTTTTAACACACATCCATCAGAACATATTCTCCACCGCACCACCCTCTGACGTAATTGAACATGGTTAGTATTTATTTTCCCCATGTGGCATTGCTTCATCCTAATGGTGAAACTAAAGTCAAGTGCGGTCAATAATCAGATGAGTTCAATTTAAAACAAGTGTGCATTAATGCTGAGATATTTAGAAAATTGTTTTTATTAATAATACTGTTTTAAATGTGTAAGCAGGGTTAGAACATGTCATGTCATTGGATATAAATGTTATTTAACTTGTAACTATAAGGTGAAAATAAGTTAACAAGTATGTAAAGCATGTCCATAGGCACACAACAGGAGGACAAAAGTCGGTTTCACTACTATGAATTAATGAGAAAATGGTTAGCAGAACAAAATAGAGGAACTGTCATGGCATGTAACTCACTTTGCAGTCTTACGAAACTCCATTCTTCCTCATTCACACTTTGTCCTTTTTGCTTTAGCCTACATCAATGGAGGTGGCACTCTATGAAGATGTGTTTCTGCTTTAAATGGACAGAGCAATTTGCTAAATGCACTTGTTTTCTTCAACATCAGAATAAAATCAAATCACAGACCAGTTGATAGAATGATCAAGCCTTCGTCAGCTAAGACAACATACTCTGAACTTGTGGTCATGGTTTTCACAGGGTGACAAGCTTCTGTTGTAGTGGAAATGTTATTTAAGAGGAAAGGTGGCATGTGGTTGCCTAGTCAAAGTAAACTATCTGTGATCTTGTGTGCCCTACTTCCACCAGGTCATCCTGATCCAAGCTTAGTGACAAGTTGCCTCTTTTACTGACCCTTTCTAAGATTAGCCTGTTAAAAAGCTGATCTCACTGCTGGCTTTTCTTAATTAGGTCCCTAACTTGGCTTAGAGTTACTATCCAAAGCACAAGGATCAATTTAGATTGCTGTATTTGCCCCTCTCATCCACCCGTCTAAATCTGACTCATTGTGAAGTTATTGATAGAGCTCCCTTTTGAGTGACTCGCTGTTTCAGTTTCAAGTTATATGGCTTCGATTTGGTGCATTTTTTGTGTATGTGTTACACAAAACCTTGTGCAATGTAATCTGGTTCTGCTGCGATGTAATGGAAGTGTGTGTGCGCAAGTAGTGTGTCACAAAGGTGTTTGTCATTTGTGAATCAGCGCTGTACCGTCGCCATTAGTTATGCTGAGGAAGTCAATGTTTCATGTTTTTAACCACATATGAGCCTAGTCTACTTCAGCTACATCCGCTCTGCAGCTCGCCTGTGCAACTGGCAAGAGCCGGAGCTCCCATGTGAAAACGAGGATGTTGAAAACAAAAGCATTTTTTAAAAGTGAACTGTGTATGATTACAATCATTTGTGCTTGTATTGACTAAGATTAGCTTGCACTGAACTAGATTCAGGGAAGATAAGATTAAATGTAGGAGTTCACTAATTCAAATATATAAAAGCTTTATTAGTTTAGGACTGTCATGGTATAGTACACTGAATTGGCATACATGCATATTTTCTTAGACCCTCCTTAAAGTACTCTGTATTTCTGCTCAAATGTAATTTTGTTAACTTCTCTATCAGGCATACATGTTTTTAAAATGACAAATATATATATAATATATATATATATTCATACCTATTCTGGAAGACTGTATAGAAATGGATACATGTTATTGAGTGGGTTGTGATAGCCTAAAACCTAATTTGCCAGAGATGCTGCAACACAGGCACATGTGGTTTTGCAATTAATTGCTAATTATTTGTTTCTCCATTAATCCAGGGGACACTGTTGTTGTTATTTTGATGATGGTCAAATTAGTGATGATGTTCTTCTCTTGGTGCTGCAGGTGAAGCTAAGAACCTGGGTCCAGTCTCGGGTCCAAATCGTCAAAGGGATCTCTGCACCTTTTGCACCATAAGTCTGGACCAGGAGGAGGTGTTACGCACCAAGGTGTTTGACAAAAGCGTCAGGTAAGCTGGAGAATCAAACCCTCGAACTTCTAACATACGTGGAGTGAATTATAATGTGGATTCTTGTTATTGTCTTATTTCTAGTTAAGGTTGTGGTTTTAGAGCCGTCACATTATTTGTTTATAATGAATTCCAAATCTTGAATATTTCAGTACATTTCAGTACGTATAATACCAAGGTACACTATGCATACTTTGGTCAGATGAGTTGTTACGTGAAGAATGCACAACAGACCATGGTTGGTGAGAAAAATTCAAGAAATGCCAATACTTTAATTTTAATATAGCAAATCTAGCCGTGTTACTTTTTGCTCTGACATTGAGCAAGGACCATTTATGGGGTTAACATGTTAAAATTTTGATGAAAAATGCAGTTTTAACCACAATGGCACTCAGTATCCTTCCACCAAAGAGGGTGGTAATCCGTCCAGTAGTTTTTGTGTACTTTTGCTTACAAACAAACAAAGAAACAAACAAACCAACAAGCAAACAGACAAGAATGAAAACCTGAAAATCTCTGCGGACGTAAAAACAGGGAAAGCAAATAAAAGCAAATAACTAGAAATACATAATACACATTAAGTTTAGTGACTTTGGATATTAGCCATTGGCTACCGTCATTCAATTCTTTGTACAAATGTTGAAATAGAAATAAAAAAATATTTGAACATTTCTGATGGTGACTCAGTTATACTAAACTCTGGACCATTTCGCTCATTGTTGGACTGTCATGGGGAAAAATTAACCATCTTTAACACTATCAATACATGACGTGTGTGTGGTACTGATACCATTTGAAATTAGATATTTTGGTACAGATGTGGATCAAATTTGATATTTCACCAGCGATTCAGTGAAGGGTGTGGGAGATGGGCATTAAGGAAACCTTTTTAGATGTCTATCTTCATTGTCGCATGTCTCAGTGTTAACATGGGCCTGCCCTCTCTAGGTATTTCACAACAGCTCTTTTTTTTTCTCTCTCTCTCTCTCTCTCTCTCTCTCTCTCTCTCTCCCTCCTGATTTCGGTGCAGTTCAAAAAGATTTTACAGTCTCTCTCTGAGGAAGTGAGTCCTCCCACGCTCTCCCCTTTCTTTCTCTGTCACTCTCAACCACCTTAGCCTCTGTTAAGCACGTCCTAATAATGATTCACATTTTGGCCCTGGATGGTGCTTGACTTACCTGTGTTGTATGAGCTCCCGTTTCTAATGATTTAAAGGAGGTGTTTACAAAAAGCTGTGGTCAAGTGGTTCTACCTCGAGCTCTCATTATTATTCAGAAGTTACAATGATAAGGGAAGGTAGTACAGTAGGTGTATGTTTGAGTTCATGCAGAATGGGTATAGTGTATAATTCCCTGTGATGTTGAGTAGTATGTGTGGGCGTATACGAGGATGTGTTGGCCAAACCCTGTGCGGAAGTGTCAGGCAAGATATTTCACCATCCAAGATCCATAAATAGTCAAGAGGAGCATCAGTGCAGGCAGGGTTTAAAAAGCCAAAGCACAAGGTTGTAATTGTTGGGAATATTTGTTCCAATCTGTCTGATTACCAGGCTAGTTTGATTCAGTGTTTAAACATGGATGAAATGGAACCCCAAAGTATAATTTATTAAGGCACAGGAACCATAAACTCCACCAATGTTTGACAGGCAACCACATGTCCGAGTGGCATTTATATTTTTCTGAAAACAAGCATATTTATACACAAAGCAATTGTCTAGCAAGTTGTTTATACCAGTATGCTTGTTTCTATTTCTCCTAAATGAACATACCAGACTCAAAACTTGGCTCACCGTAGAGGACTTGTAGGTAAATTTTAAAAGGGGGGTTGAGGTTTAACTTTAACATATAAAGTGTTAATCCAGTACAACTGTGTTGAGGACTACTTGGTCTGTTTGGGACAGGTTGTCCATCTGCAGGCAGCACCTGCATCGAGGTAGTGCTTAACCTACAATCAACTATGTCAGATCAAGCTGTCTTGCTCATAGTCTTGGTCGTGACGTGGATGTGTTGGCAGGACTGACTGGCACAGATGCTTGGGCCCTCTGTGTTCCTGCTAGCTCTGACAGGGGAAATCAGTCCTCTGCTGAACACAAGGCCAGGTTATGTGGTGTCATAGCACTCATGCTGTTTAATTATTGGAATTCGCATGTTCTCCACATGTCTCTGTGTGTTTCAAGAGCACAGGTTTACGTCCCAGTCCAAAGACCTGCAGTTTAGGTGAAGCGGAAAGTGTTCATTTGCTCATCCGTGTGAATGTGAGCATGTTGTCTGTTTAAGTGTGTCCCGGTGACACTGTGATGATATGATTATCATTAAAAGTAATTCCACTGAAAGTCCATATGATGATATTCAGGGTATGTCTGAAGTCCTAAAAAGTATTTGATTTCGTTTTGTTCCCTTAAAAAAGATCAGAGAACTTAAAAGTCTTACATTTCATTGACATACATTTTTATTTGTTTTTTCTGGAGACAAAGTTAGTTAGAACTATTTTCTATGATTGTGGGCTATGTTACTGTAAGTGAGACTAGTGCAATTGTGGATTGTGTTTGCACATAGCTTTCTGCTAAATCATTTTTATAGAATTGTTATTATTATTATTGTTGTTATTATTACAGTACTACTGTAAGAAACCCATAGACAAATAGGCACATGCCAGTCTCTGCAATTTCATAATAATTCTAATAATAAAACTCTTTATTTTAGTGTCCAAATATATTTGTCACTTTAAAGTTGTTTTTGCTTTCTTGGCTCTTGGTTTTTATTTTACCTTTTAGTTTGATGTACGCTAAAGGAATGCAGATGAAGGAGAACAAGAAATTGTTTATAGAGAGAATGGATGGCAGAAGTGACAGATTTAAACTGAGGACATGGTGAGAACATTTCCCTCGCCCTAGATGAGTCATGAGGGCACCCTGTGTTGTCCACCTTATGCTCAGGCACTTCAATCCATTGTACATTAACAAATACTATCTTTATGATTATTTGGCTCTAATATAATAATGTAATTATGGTTGCTGTGTAGCATGACATGCATTCCACATAAATCCAGGGTCATAAACACAACCTTGTATAACGCTAATTACATCATCGTTACAAATCAGCAGCAGTCCATTACATGAGGACTTTCATTTAGCGAACACATGATTTCACAGTATTTTATCAGGTGAATGCTATTTGTCCAAGAAATTCACATGCACACCCACTGGTTACAGGAGCTGCAGGTCATTTCACAGTGCCAACTGTAGTTGAAGAAACTAATGCAGATATGTTTCCCTCTGTTTTAAAAAAAAAATCTCCATCCACACTACCTTCATTTTACAAAAATCTTCATCCAGATGACCCAAAAGTAACAACAAACAAGCAACACACATGCTGGTGACGACAGTTCAGGTCTCAGAAAAGTTGTTAGCTTGGAAGGAGCTACTCTTGCCTTTTCCATAGCTATTTAGCACTGACTTGTTCTTCATCGCTCACTCCTCGTAGGTATGAGCACGCACCATAACCATTGCGGCTTGCATCTAAAAAGTTGTGAAGCAGCTTCTTGGAATCCTTAGGGCTGCTAAATCTGTTTCCATAAATCCCTTTTACAAACACACAAATAAATAGGGACCTGATTTTTTTGAAGTCTTTATATGGCGAGACATTTTTAAAAGTCTCAGTTTGTTTGTTTGCATGTGGATAAGAGGCCCAAAAGCAGAGGAAAAAGTTTGTTTTGTGAAATATCCACATTAGTGTGGATATGGCCTCAAAGTTTTGTGTAGTGGTGTGAGTTTTATATATGTATTCCATAATATGGCAAGCCTGCTTTACAGAACGGGTCTGAAACAGTTGACTGGCCTAGAGTGAAGGGATATTTATTCAAAAGAGAGAGTCTGCATGTAATACAACTGTGATCAAGAGGCTTTCAGACTTAGAGGTGAAGGCCATTGTAAGTTGTGATGAACTAAAGATGACTACACACAGGGATTTAATGTTGATAATGAATGTCCAATCCCGATTCTGGAAACATTTTAATTTGACTTGGAAGCAGATGAAACTAGCCTGGCACTCATTAGAAAGAAAACCTCCGCCAAGGCCCAACAGAAATTAACGAAACATTTTTAATAACATCCTGGATCTGTGCCCTGATCATTTTTATGGGTTCTTCCTTGACACACACTCAACCCCTCCAAATAATGTCATAGAATTAGGTTAGAAAGGTTAAATAGAGTAGCTTATGCTTAATCCTGCTAACAAACACAAAAACAGACAAAATCTTCCTTGGCTTAGATAAAAGAAATGCATTGACCATCAAGTGAAGTGAATAAAAGTTGTGCGCAAAATACATGTGATGATTTTATTTTTTAGAGTAGAATAATTCTGAAATCTGATCATACATTTGTTATAGGCTGCCATGATTAGCTGATTAATCAATTAGTCGATCTAATGAATATTAATTTCTACACACATTCTCACACGCTCCCTTTGTTTCCTCTTTTATTTGCAGCCCTTTCTATGGCGAGGACTTCTATTTTGAGATCCCACGTCCATTCCAGTGTTTATCCTTCTACGTTTATGCCAAGAGCGTTTTTCCAAGGGACCCAGCTGTTGGTAAGTCACATTAAGTAAGGCATTTACACAAGTAGTAAGTAAGTAATGTTTGAATGGATGGGTTGTAATTTAATGTTGACTTTTCAGGCAAGGTATCAATCCGGAAGGATGAGCTGTGTAAATACAGTGGGAAGGAGGACTGGTTCAGCCTTCAGCCAGTAGATCCCAACTCAGAAGTCCAGGTAATGTCTAGGAAGAACTTCACTGTTTTAAATGAGTTATAAAATGTGGCTTTTGATTTATAGCATATATCACAGAAACATTTTGGTTACTTGTGATCTTTAAGTTGTCACTTATCTTCATGATACTGGGATAGCTGTAAACTTTTTTTCCTTTCAGCATTTTATTGATAATTCCTTCAGTGGTGCTGTTCTTATTCTTACCACATGTCCAGCATGTTGGGCTGTGCTTGATCAAATTTGTTGTGGTCTGGTTGTTCTCGGGTGAAACTACAGCACATAACCACTTGTGCACCGCTGGAGCTAACATATTGACTCTAGCTGCCATTATCCCACGCCAGACTATTCTGGGTATGTGCTGCTACACTGATTCACACTTAAGTAGACACTTTGAGCTGGAAAGTTACATTAGAGAGTGATGGAGGTGTTGCTGCAGTGCCTTTCTAGCATTATTTTAGCTGTTTCTCTACCCTGTGAGCAGCATTAACTCATGTGTTAGAAAAACTGCTCAGTTAATAATGAAATCTGCAGCAATAGCACAAATAATACACATTTACTTTGTCCATATTTGTCGCCACGGAGGGAGTTGTGATACGAGTGTTATTTTGCTGATAATATTGGCTCATTCAGATCCTTGCAAAGTAGTCAGTATTATATTGGCATAAAGGTCTATCTTGCATCAGAAAGAACTGCTCGCCATCTCAGCAAAGTGCTGAATTGCAGTGAGTGCAAGTGTGTGGGCGTTTTGTTTAGCCTCGCTCTGTTGCTCATTCTCTCGCTCTGTATCTCTCTAGCTCTCTTAACTCCGACACTTCCAAAGGCAAGACCAGCAGCCTTCACCACATCCGACACTGTAAAACTCCTTCTGAGTGATGTCAAAACTGCTGACAGCTGTTGTCACACTTGCTACCGCCATTAACTTAAAGCAACATGAAATGTGAGGTGGAGCTGGGCCACAGGTTTAGAAAGTAGCAATGCTTTCATCGTATTCAAATTAAATGCTAGGAACATATTTTTGCATGTTAGTAAAAAAAAAACATGATTTGGTTGTCTGAGAGATTTGGCATCCAGTCATTTTCTCACAAGCACATACTACAACCCACATTTTCATTTGTTTTTTCCACCCACGTGTTGATCTGGGATTCAGATTGAAACTTTTGCCTTGTGCCCCAACATAAGACGACTCTCTTGGCATCTCACCCACCGATCACTCTCCTCTCCTCATGTTCAACAGGGTAAAGTCCACCTTGAGATGCGATTGAATGAAGTGATCGCAGAGAATGGCTCAGGAGGTCAGCACTTACTAGTCAGGTGAGTACCTCTTTTTTTTAATGTGGTTGAACCCATTAAAAAAGGCAATTGACACCTTTCTCATTTGTTCAATGTCACAAATGCACTGAAAACTGAGGCACTCTTTCACCTTGCTGTTCTTAAAAAAAGAACGCATTTACCAGAGTGTCATGTTTCCATCACTGCGGATTGGAGCCACAGCCAATAAAAAACAGTGATTACTGGTGTACTGATGACAAATGAAATTGTCCCTGCAGAAGTCCAACTAATTCACCCATAACGGAGGTGAACAATTTTGTATGTTAACATGAAGCTGGCATTCTATTGGTTAGGGAATTATGACAGACGTGTAGCGTCTAAAATGTAAGCGCAGAAGAAAAATCCAAGAGCAGTGGAGAAATCAAAGAGCAGATGTTTCACGTGTGCACAGAAGCAGAGTGAGCTTGAGGAGAAGAGCCCACACTGGAACACAGGAAATCTCTCTGGGCAACAAAATATCTTGAGCACACATTTTAAGCGCAAGCAGAGCAAATCTAAACACAGGCATGGGATATTGAGTGAGGCCGCAGGATTTTGAGTGAAAGCATTTCTAAATTCTGAACGTGAAATCAATAAGTCCTGCTCTCAAACCGAAAGACTACGCTCTTGAATAAAGATAGGGCAAAAAAACACGTTTATAAGCAAGTGAAAACAATGCTATCATCCATCATTGATGAGATTCTATAATTTGGTAATTGCTTAGTGGGCTGTTCCAGATTATATGTGTGTCACAATATTACTCTATCGATCACCATTAAGTCCCAGCTGTAAATTTTACATCAAACTGTTATAACTCAGGCGGATCGAAAGCACTCAGGTGGAGCAAATGTGTTCACGGTACATGTTTGTGAATGTCAGACCTCGTGATGTTTCTTACCCCTCATTCATATTTGAAGAGCAGGTTAATGAGGAGGAAGTTATGACATCTGAGCAGGAAGCCTGCGCCTCTCACACTGCAACCACTGTGGTTTACTGCTGCCGTCATTCACTGTGCTACTCAGGTTGTTTGCTAAAACTGTAACTGCTCACCATAAGCGCTTGCCATATGTACACACTTACACTCTGTGATTAGTCACCAGAGATGGTACGAACAGAACGAGATGGGGTTGAGTTAAAGACGATGAGATGCAGTGGAGAGACCTTTGGGTATATCGTCATGGCACCCCAGAAGGTTATACACAAACATCCTGACACTCGCAGTGTGTGGCATCTCCCTCTGGCCTCACTTAGTGTTGGGCTGAATTCATTCTTATTCTCTTGTGACTCCTGCTCTGCTGCCACATCCTGTTTAGAGTGCCGACAGTGTCTGTTTGTTGTCACCTGCAACACCTGCGAAAATAGCAGTGGCCCCTGTGTGACAGAAGCTGAACATGAGGCCAGAGCTGTACTTCTAAGTGAACACTATAACACCATGGCATCAATGCATAGTACTGATTTATATTAGTGGTGATCTTGATAATTGATGCCAGTTTAAACAAGTCTGAGAACTGTCGAAAACTTTAAACCTTTTCACTCAAAATACGTAAGTGTATATTCGTAATTGTTTTATATAAACATCTCTTTTAATCAGTTGAGATTGTTATTGCTAATCTCTCCCAAGGTCTGCGTCACTGTAAAGTCAATTCATGATTGCTTGCTTGAAATATTGAAGGTTTTGTTGAAGATGATCAGCTCCAAAATAGCACTTAGCTGAGTGGATTGATTTACCCTGCTGCTAATATGAAACCATGTCTTTTTTAAAATTTGTTCTTAAATTCTTTATAATAACACTGTACAATGGGTATTTAACATTGTCCATGGTGTATTTAGTAATTGTATTTTTGTTCTTGCGACCTCTTGCAGGATAATAGAGTGTCAGGAGCTGCCTTTAATCAGTGGGCAGAACTGTGACCCCTATGCCACAGTGTCACTCGTCGGACCTGCCAGGTAAGTCTGCAAACGCCACGCACAGACCAAAGGAAGCCAAGGTTTCATAGCAACAAAGACATATGGGGATGATATTCTTTCAATTGTAGTTTTACATTAATAAAACTACAAACTGTTAGTGGAAGCTCCTACTAATATCCACCAAGTTTTGTAAAAATCTGTTTTTTTGCAATCCTGCTGAAAAACAAACAAAAAAAACAACCAACACACAAATAGACGGGTGAAAACACAACCTCCTTGGTAGAGTCATCATCTTATGTAGAAAATATTCAGTAGGTTCACATCACAATACTTCAAACGTTACTCAGCATGATATATCTAACCCCTCCACAAATATGTAAGCCAGGCTTTAATTCAACTTTTCAAAATGAAGGTATTTGAAAAAGATTTAAACTGGTTGTAAGCATGATCTTATCTTTTGTCACGAAGCTGGAGATTGACGATCAAGACTTCTGAGGTGTTTAAGTCACGTCGTGGCACATACAAGATCATGAGTGCAGCAATGTTACTGTGGTCTAGAAAAGTGGTCACCAACCTTTTCAAGCCCAAGATCACTTTTTAATTCCGAACGTAAGCCGAGATGTAACACCCTGATATCTTACATATGAAGGTCATGTTTATTATTTTTTCAATTTTTGTTAAAGGCTCAATGTATGAGCATAAATAACCACTAAGAAAGGCAACTATGCAACTGTATCTATTCAATGCACAATATTCACATCGATATTTATTTATATTTACAACATCTGTTCAATGCACAATAGTTAGCTTCTCAGTTCAACAATATGTTCTGCAGAGGAGCTGCTACTGCAGCACAATGTTTTTGCATAAGCTTTGCCTTGAATATGGCCATTAATATGACCATTTCCTTATATAAAAGTAGGCCTGTGTACTCAAATAAATACCAGTACTATACAGTTTGAAGCCATGTTTTTTCCGCTCCTGTAAATACTAAACCCCCTTTTTTTTTTTTTTAAATAGTCAATAGAAACGCTGTAGTGCTTTTATTTTGTAGTGCATGATGTGCTCTGTAGTTTAACAATGAAATTGTATACACAGACTGAGCCAGTGTCCTTTGATTCATTGACCTTGTGCGGAACTGGCATTTACATCCATCCAGAGTGATCAGATCACAAGTGGATGGCTCTAAGTACAGGTCTGAATGCACCCGAATGCGTCCCAAGATCTAATCACTCTCTCTCTCTCCCACTCTCTCTCACTCACTCACTCTCTCTCACTCACTCACTCTCTCACACTTACTCGTGCTGACAAACAGATGCACAAACACATTGTCGTTGGACACATATATAAAGTTAGACTGGGTAAAATCAACATGAACAAAAACAACGTACGTGAATATTTGCCTGTAATAGGGCCATTGAACCCAAACTTTAGATGCAAAAGGAAACTGAGGCTGAGGCAGTAGCATGATCTAATCCAATCACAACATGGTTTAGATCACTAGATCGAATGGCTTTAATCTTAAGGCAAAGAAATAAGAGCAGACTTATAGAAGAAAAATAGAAGCTTTAAAGTTTTTCTATAATGTTTCTCCTCAGGTCTGACCAAAAGAAAACAAAGGTGAAGAAGAAAACCAGCAACCCTCATTTTGAAGAGACCTTCTTCTTTGAGGTATTTTGCTGTGGAACAACATCATAGATTTGAAATGATCTCATGGTTACTTGACTGTTAGAGTACTTGAAAACCTGTCAGTAAGCCTTCACATGTTCACCCTCAGGTCACACGATCCAGCAGCTATTCTAAAAAGTCTCACTTCCAAGTGGAGGAGGAGGACATTGAGAAACTTGAGCTAAAGTGAGTATTTTTTTCTTTTTCAATGTGCCGTGTGTTTCTCTCTCTCTTCTCTATATCTCTCATTCTCCCTCTTTATAGTCTTGACAGAAGAAAAATTATTACTCTGACAAAAAGACAAAAAAGTGAATTTGGATCTGGTGTGTTCTGACTGCTGATAGAGAGCCTTGGTTTCTGGTTAAGGATATGTGGGGCTTCCATCACAGTGGACTCATAGCTCACTGGGTAAGACTAGACAGAGTCAAAGGTAAACACTCATGCATGGTTTTGAGGTTTGGATTTGAGGTGGTGTCATTGCACGGGCATTGTATTGACGTTTATGCACCAACCAGGTAAGCACCACTCAGTAGTGAGATTTCTTTTGTGCTGAAAACGCACAACACTACAAAGGTTATCTTTTACTTGATGTACCGTACACGTGGTTTGGTGTAGTATAATGCTTTTTATTTACAGATGAAATGCATAGTTTCATTTCTCATCCTCTGCATTTCCAGAGTTGATTTGTGGAACAATGAGAATCTGGCTCAGGACGTGTTTCTTGGTGAGACGCGGGTCCCTGTCAAGATCCTGCGGACGGACCACGTCCACAAAGCCTGGTAAGGCATGGAGAGAAGAAAATGCCTTTTAAATTCCTAATTTTAACCATTAAGGATGAATGTAAAATATAAAATGCATTTTTTGGAACAAACACACAGAACGGCAGATACAAAGAGCATCCACATTTCTGCATTCTTGTGTTTCTTTCTCCAGTTGCACAATTTACTGCAAATCTCACATCTTGTCTTTCCCAGAGTGATAACTCGGTTGAATAGAAACACAGACATTACACACACACACACACACACACA